TTCGGGGTCATACATGACCTGACCATTTCAACGGCATGTTCCAGACTGGGCAGGAGACATGCCGGTCCTCATATTGCTAAAAAATAGTCTGGAGACCGCATTAAGATTAATCAATTGTAAGCGAAGTCTCGGTCTCTCAGTCACACCAGCATAAGGACAACGTTTGGCTGACCGTTGGCCACCGGTAAGGATGACTTATATGTTCGCCTACGCATGACACAGGACTAAGAACCACCCACGATAAATGTGCCTTTGCGCCAAATTCTGCACAAATTAGGTCACAGATGAAGGTGAGGGGTAGGATTAGATTTACGGTTGGCATTAAGGTCAGAGTTGGGGTTATGTGTAAACGTTTTGGCTCGTGTTAACTGTAGGTTTTAGGTCTAGCCTAGGGCTAGGGTTAAGATTAGGCTTACAATTTTTTTCATGGCGGGGGTCGTTTTGGGTTTAAGACACGACAGAGTTCTGTATTGAGAAGACGCAGATGCGATCGCTGGGACAAGAATTTTATTCGCCTGACATTTCGGATTCCGTAGCAGATCCATCAACAGTTTCTGCCAATGGTCCTAGCGATGGATCCGCGGCGGAATCCGAAACGTCAGGTGAATAAACTTCTTGCCCCAGCGAACCATTCTGCTTATTCTTAATAAAGAATTTCCAGGCTTCTTTCCAATTCCTACTAACCTCGACAATTTTCTCACATAATATGCCTTTTTACTTCGAAGAATTCGTTAAGCAGGCCTAACTTAATATCCGATTTGCGGATGTGTAAAAATAAATTATAGGGTCTCTAGGCAATATTCGCGAATAGTAACCACCCGCGCAATGCAGGTTTCTTTGTAGCAAACTCCAGAGGTTTGGTTAGGTTAAGATTTATATTAAGTTTTAATGCTGGGGGTAGTATAAACTGCAGGGTAAGTGTTCAGGACAGATGTTCAGGCCACGGGTTAGGTTTACGTTACAACCATTGTTGGAGTTAGAAGACAAGAACATTAAGCCGTCCATCAATCACGCGCAAGGCTACCTATATTATCTGGACGGGGCGTTTATATCCTCTTTCCTTCTTTAGGGGATCATATAAATCATGTCTATGCATAACTGACTTATGATTAGGTAAGCTCTAGAGTTTCCGGAAAAACAGAGGCCATTTCAGCCCTATCGAAATGATCCCATTACGGTTGTGGTGGTGCCTACACTGGGTTAAGGCCTCGTCTGTTTTTCTCATAGTGAGTAAATGTCCACTCACTCCTAAATTGATCCGCCTCACGTGATTGTCTCTGCAATGTGTTTACGTGGACTGCGCGAGTCAAGCCGAATGAAAATTTTATCGAGTGTGGAGAATTATGTTGTCTGAATCCGCCGTCTAATGCAACGAGGGCCATGTTGGGAACAATCCATTACCGTTTAATCGCTGTTCCAATCATAAGTGAAGTATATGTTCGGTGTTGGACTCTCGAAGTCGCAAGGCTTTCATAAACATCGACTTCCAATAGCATTTCCCCTTTGTTTCTCCCGTGCCACATGTTATGAACCTTTTTGTTAGGAGTCTAGCCTTGGAGATTCCAACGGGTGTAATTCGACGGTGACATCACACAGAAGTCACCGTTGCAACACTTTGAACCATTATGAAAATGTTATTTTTCATGGTATGAGGTCATCCCTCGATCATCCATCGGGGAAACGAACTTATTGCAGTGACAAAATATCAGCGAAAATAATGTAGGGATTTAAGACTTTACCTATTGTGGTTGTATTTTAAGACTTATTTGAAGTATGTACATTATTTACACTACTATCTCTTGTTACTTTGCAGCTATAGAAAAGACGCGTTGATGTACTGGCGTTAGAACTTTGCATAGAAAACTCCCATATAACTCCAGAGCTGTTCTTGAAAGTGTGTATCAGAGAACACTTGGCGTATGTTATGTGCATGTTTTAAAAAACGTCGATTAACTGGTAGGGTAAAGATCAACATACTACTACGGCCTCGTAGTTCAGACGTCTAGAGCGCTGGTTGTGCTAAAGCCTTCCCCTTGCTGACGTTGTTAGGAATTCTATCGAGGCTGCCGAGTTTTTCAAACGCGAGTTAAACGAAATACTGATGAATGTTTTAATGAGTATCGTTGAGAATATTTTATGAAGCTGGAGGGCCCCTGAAAGGCCGGTTAACAGCATACCATACTTTGTGTAAACCAATATCATTGCATAAATGGTATTAAAAATTCGCTAAAATTTGCGCATATTTTACTGCTGATTCGCAATCACCTATCAGCTGATAGCTATTTTGGCGAAATCCCTATCTAGCTTGTAGCTCTTACCTATATCCCAACTACTGGAAATAAATTCGTGTTCATATGCCAATGATTGTCAATGTAATTATGCGGCTATCACACTGAAGATGGTGGTCTTTAAACCAACATGTTGCTATGGAGTTTCGGATCGAATTTCAACAATCTTCTGCCAAGGGTGTGTTTGAATTTTGCATGGCAATTTCTAAGGTTTGCAACAAGGTCGTTACTAATTGAATGAGAAAGTTCGCGTTCCAGGTATCTTCTTGGATAAGGAAGGAGGCGAGTCGAGCACCGGATCAATTAATTTATTGTCCTGAGCTTTCGGCTTCACACGAGAAGCCATCGTCAGAGAAAATTAGAAAACAACAAGCGCTGGCTACGCGTGAATGGGGTTGTTAGGGGGGGGGGGTGGCACTTATGATTGGTCCATGCCCACGCCGCGTCCATTCCCACGCTAC